TTCTCAATTTTGCATAAACTGGTACACTTTAAAAGGGAGTGAAGAAACTTCCAAAGATGTATTCATACGAAAATGATCATGGTATTTTCAGTGTAAAATGTTCGTGCAATTTCACGACACACAACGTATTGTCTCCAAGTTATAGGAAAAAATGGGCGAAACTAATAAAATGGATTTATAAAACGGGATCAAGAAACAATCTTTAAAAGTAGGCAACATATCCAAAGGGTTATTATACTATTCAAATAGGAATACTAGAACCACACAAGTCGAAAAAGGTCAAATGGAAGGAATTTTAAATACCACAAATACAATAATAATGCCAAGCTGAACGATTTTCATATAAACATTATGTTTTATCCGACTACTATATATGCACGTTTCATGAATCCGAAGGCCAACAGACTAATGATACATGTGGATAAAATATCTAATTCTTTTTAAATAACTGTTTAGTCAATTTAAGCGACTTATAAGATAAAATACATTTCATTTGACATAGAATATGATAAACAAGATCAACAAGGAAAGGCGGCGTTCAATGACATAGAAAAAGTGTGTAACATATAGATAAATGAACAGAGTTTTCTTTTGCAAACTGTTCAAATCTTTAGGTGAACATGCAACAAAATCATGCGTAATAAATTGGTAACACATTTTTGATAGATTATTAGATCTTACAAGAGTCCTCTAATAGTATCTTTCTTTCAAAATCAACTTATGTGTATTTACTTACGTAAATATTGTCATTCCATACAATAAGTATATTCGAGGGGTCAGACTTTCTCTAGATTTTATTGGCATCAACTAAAATAGTGGGTGGGGTACGATTTGAACAGTAATTCATTAAATGACCAGAAGCAAATTATCATATTCCTTGTTAATTATGTTAATCTGTTACATGGATTGCACCAAAGAAGCTTTAATTTGACAGAAACACAAAATAGGGGGAAATAATTGATAGAACAAATAAGTACGAGTTACAACCTTACATTGTAAAACTATTTTAATGTAGCGCCTCTCATTTCATATGTCTTACTTCTTAATTACAAACAAAGTTTTCTTCAGATATGATATGAGTACATTAAAGCATTACTCTCATGAGTACATTACAACAGTGGAATAACAAAATTAGTAATAAATATTTCTCTGTTTAAGCATAGACAAGAGTATCATAGCAAAACCAAATAAGTTTAGCATTATTTTGCATATTTATGTATAAGAAAGAAAAATGCAGTCTGTTTTCTCCAATAAAGTTAAGTATTGTCGTATAAAACTCTTTAAATTTAATCTTCCGTGCAAAATTTCACTTGAAATACAAAAATGGAAAAAAATATGAGCCAACATTAATATTCTAGAAGGATTGAGCGGCCATCTTTGACGCCATCTTGGATTTTTACGCTTCGCATCGGACTTGAGCCAAATGAATATTCATTCCGGAAACTACAGACATAGACGAACAATTTGGTATATAAAACTTGCTGTTGGCTGACATAGACCACTTCGATGCCATTTTACCCTATGAATTTGCAGCACTTTATAGCATTGCAAGTGGTTAACATTGCTGCATTAATTATTTACATTTATTATATTATTTGTTTATTTCGCACATTAGACACACTTTGATATATTTCATGATTATGAAAGGAGTGTATCCTTTTGACTTTGTTAACACTAACCAAATTATCCTTTTGTATTTATTTATTTTGTCATATTGTATTGAAATGTATGTTATTTCGATGTCTTTACTAAACTTTAATAACATTGAATTAATGGGTTGGCGTCTATTGTGTACCGTTGTATTGTGTTACTTCTTAGTTTAATCATTGTTGTTAAATAAAATGTTGATAATATTATTTTGTAATAAAGTGACACGTGTTATATTAATAAAAGGCACGTAAATCATAGAAACTATTAACACTTATCAAAGGGGTTTCACAATTTAGTACTACTTGTCATTTATAGAATTGTATATTATATTTTTTATAACAAACCATTCAGCCTTTTGAGAACTTTTCATTATGTTTTTAATTATCACGAAATTAAATTATGTCTTAGTTCTTACAGGTCAAATAAGTTTTGAATTTTTTTCAACCTCATAAAAGCACTATTCTAAATTCTTTTTTTTCTTTTGCAATTTGTGATAACAATGTAATTCACAATGTGGAATAAAATATTTAATGTGATATTCACCTATCGAGTACTGAGAACGATGTAACAATATCAATGGCGTTGTTTCAATATTTTGCTACTTTTACAATAAACGAAATTCTAGCATTAAACCGTTAAAATGCATATACCAAGCAAAAACACACGCATATCTTTATGTAATAAATATGAATTCTCCATGATATTGAAAATTATAATAGGTATTTATATATTTATGTAACTGATAGAAATTAATTTGATATGTGCAGGCATAGACAATTAAGTGTTTAATAATCTTTAATCATGTCTACTTGTTTACTTTATATATGTGCATTCATTAAAAGCTATCAAAATATTTTTGTCAAATTTTGTATATAGTCCTCAATAATTCGTTACAGCTGTGTAAAAATCAACAATACTTAACCCCATACATTAATCATAAAAAATTTCATAACAGTGTCATACTTGGCTTTACAGTGTATTAAATACTCATTTTCGTAATTTATATCTATCGATGTAGCTTACAGAAAGTCGGTGGTACTAGTCAGGGGCCCACTTGTGCCTGAGTCAGGTCTCCCATCGCTTAGAATTTCAGAAAATATTATATACCTTCACAGAATATTTATGGCTGAAAACCCTTAAAAACAATTAATGGTACAGTAAACTCCGCTTATAACGAACTCAATTGGACATTCAAAATATGTTCCTTATATCCGGAGTTCCTTGTAAGCATATAGCGAATTAGTTCCTAGTATCAGGAGTTTTTATATCGACCAGATTTACACATAACGAACTGATTGTTTACCATCGTCCAGCATTTTGAAAAGCATTTTTTTAAGAAAAATTAGTCATTTATTTCTCTTTGAGGCACAATACCCTGCGTGACTGTATGGAATTTTAAAATCCTTTGCAATTTCACCCTTTCTCAATTTCTCATAACATTTCATATTTTGTTGGGCTTTTCGTTTCTTTCCATGGGTAAGAATAAACAAGATTTTCGATTTTTCCTTTCTTTTATATTGAATATCTTCTATTATTTTTAAGGGTGACTTTTACTTATGAAAGATATAGATTTCACTTCATTTCAATCAGGCGTAGTTTGTACTTTGCAATGGATTAGCGTAATTATGTTGAAAACCGACTATAAATTATCATAATTATTTTACTCGAGCAAAACTATTCAAGAAAAAAAATAATAGAATAAAAGGAATAACGGTTTTATCTTGGTGACAAGAAGTCATGCTAAAAATAACCTAAATAGAAAACTATTACGTATTGCTATACAAATTCATTTTCACAGATACAACAAACAATAAACAGTACATTCGGCCGAGTTTTAATCCGTGTCAATGAAAACGAAACTTGAAAATGCGGATCTATTTACGGATAGCCGATATTTTGGAGTTCGTTATAAAAGTGTAATTTTCTGTACTTTTAACTAAGTTGGGACTAAGAAATGAGTTCCTTATCAGCAATAATTCCTTATAACCGCGTTCGCTATAACCGTATATTTTTATATTTAATAAAGAAGGTCAAATATCGGGCTTTTTATCACGCACAAAACTTTGGTCTGAAGCCCGAAGTTCAAGATCACAGACCTGACTTCAAAGGTTTTTTTACATGAAAATCCATTGATGTTCGTGTCCGGTTAAGATACAAGTCATTTCTGTTTGGGTTTTGAAAAATAAAATGCAATGACATGTTGAACATAATGACGACGTGTTGTGCACAAGAATTACATTCCTAAGTTAAAGGTCAATGTTCTACATCAATTAAATGTCATGATATGATTTTTTTCCTCATAAAATTGCACTTATGTTTGAGAATGACTATGTATAAATTTGTCGGATATAATGACTATGTGGCGTACACAGGAATTAGGTATCAAGTTAAAAGGTCAAGGTCACATTTGTACCATAAAAGTGCACTGTCCTATCCAGTCAACAATCTTGTCATTCCCAGATGGATCCCAAAATAACTATGTTGAAATGTTTGGACATACGTATCGAATAAGCTTTCTAGTTCAATGGCCAAAGTCAAACTTGTAGATGGAACGTAATGATACGAATGGGTTTTTAAGTTATAAAAGAACACTAATATTCGTGTCGTCGTGTCCAGACAACAATTTTATCATTTCCTGGTGGATTTTGAAACAACTATATAGAAGTGTTGGAAGTAACGACGACGTGTTGCGCTCCACAATTTGGCTAGGTTTTCATGTATACGTCATCTGACCAAGTGTCCGTTTGCTACAATCCGACTTAAAGTCGGTCTCATTTCTTTCAATGTGAGGTATTCCATTCATTCGACTGCTTTGTTCGTTTATTGGGCGCGGATTTAAGAACGAAGCATTTCGTCAAGACATTAATCAAAATGAAAACACATATGAAATGAATAATTATGAGAAAATAAAAACTGGCTACAATCAATCTAATTATCTATAATTGTTTTCCGATCTGATAGGTAAATCTATTGTAAGAATTTCTTATTGAACGCCGCCTTTCCTTGTTGATTTTGTTTATCATATCTTATAAGGTATCAGAGAATTTCCGATTAAAACAAAACATTTACCTGCATATCTCTTTTACTAGAGATAACTTGCAAAATTTCATAACACAATGAGGCGTGAACTTCTCATGTAGATCCATAGTGCATTTGCAATTTATTTTCAGGAAAAATGGTGTCAAACGTTTTGTTTGAAAGTAGTGAAATTATTTACATCGTCGAGATGCCATTTGCAGTCACCCTATATATATGAGAATAGTTTCCGCAATAATTTAAGATATTAAAGGAATACCACGTTTATTTGTGTTCATTGTAAAGTTACCTTTTAAATAAAAAAATACAAATACTATGAATTTAATATTTTTTATGATTCATCTTCACCAAACTTTGTTTAATTTTACAGATATTACAAATATTCAATGGACACTTTATCAGTGGCGCCTACCTAATTTTATTTCGTAAATGGGCATAACACACGGTTTGCAAACACACACACAGTGTAATAGAAAATAGAACTACAAATTACAAAATATCTTCTCATATTAAGTTCAACATATTTATATAAGGTCAGTTGTGAATTAAGTACATGCACTTTATATCAATAACTTTTGGGACGGCTTAGTTGTACTAGTGTCATATAAGAAATTTTGTTTATACGAGTTGGACTCAAACCCATGATTCCTTTGGTATAATGCAGTCACATTTACCATTACGTCACCATTCTCTTTAAAGTTTATTTAAAACAAAATACAGAACACATTACTAGTAATTAAGATAATTACAATGTACAAAAATGTATTAAATTCAAAATGCGCACAAGATTGCTTCCGATTAGTGTGTAATTGATATATAATAATAGTAATATGTATGAATTTAAACCTTATTGTTTGCTTAATCAGCTCAATTGACAGATAGACAAACAGAAAACTAATAAAAGAAAACTAGTTAAATTTATACGTGACTGTGTAAAATATAAAGAAAATGCTAAAAAATTTACTTTTTATAAAGTGTATTCTTGTTATAACTATTTCAATGCCACAAAATGTGACAAATACGGGTCAACACAGTATATGGTCTATTACAGGGTATATATCGAGTCCAGTCATTAATCGAGCTATGTGGGCAATTCACCAATGACATTTTATTTGCATGGGCCTGACTTGGCAGCATACCCTTTAACAGACTATTTTAGGATTTGACCCCAAAGCGTGACCTTGACCTTGTGGTAGAAATCTAGGTGTTGCGTCTTATTATTGTTAACATTCGTCCCAAGTTATTTTAGAATCCCTTGATGGATGAAAAAGTTATATACCACACACACATGATATACCCTATACACAATTCACATTAAAAGTAGGAGTCTGGCTGTTTGATATGACACATTGTCCCATTATTGAAATTATTTGCACCTAGTAATTTCAAAATTAATATTTTGCTCAACATTTTTAAAAATGTTATCACAAATTCCAAAAGAAAAAAATCTAGAAAGGTGTGATTCTTTAAACAAAATCGAATTTTGCTTTAGTAAGTTTGTAGGTAATAGTTTTAAAAATATAAATATTTCAATACTTATTTCATCGCTCAGCAAGAACTAAGACATTATTTAATTTCGTGATGATTAATAGCATAATGGACATAATTCAAATAGCTGTATGGTTTATTATTACAAATATTATATACATTTTATTAATGAAAATTAGTTCTTAATTGTGAAACATCTTTAGATAAGTGTTAATAGTTACGTGCCTTTCATAAACATGAAACATGTCACTATATTCACAAATAATATTATCAACATTTGATTTAACACAAATGATTAAACTTAAGAAGTAACGATACTTTAACGTTAAACAATAGAAGTAACCCACAAACTAAATGTTATTAAAATGTAATAAAGACATCAAATATACGTTTCTATACAATGTGACAAAAGAAATTAATGCAAAAAGATAATTTGGTTAGTGTTAACAATGTCAAAAGCCTACACTTCTTTCATAATCATGAAATGTATGAAAATTTATTTTATGCATGAAGAAAACAAAATAATATAATAAACACAAATTTAACATAGTTTTTAAACCACCATTTATCAGATCTAATGAAACTATTTACGGTATTGGAATGCTATGTATACTGTAACGTAGATTCTTCGTAAGCACTTTTGTTATCCAAACAAAATTTAAATACTTCACTTGATGTTCTATAGACAGTGGATTCACATTTAACATGTACCGATACTTTACAAACATCCAAGATACACAAGTGTATTACATATAGGAACAAACTATTTCTTCCGACGGATTTTCATTTCCATGGTTTTCATCGAAGTGTAATGTCCTTTCCACTGGTACCAGTTTGTACCCTTTCCGTAGTCGGAAGAACCATACAGTCCATTAAGGTTTGAATGATGACAATGTTTGTACCACCATGCACCGTGATATACGACTGCACACTTATAATTAGAACCGTGTTGGTCGTTGTCTCTGTCTTTTGTAGAAAACTTCATACCATTTTGAAGCTTAAGAGCGTCACCAGCAGTACCAGAATATCCGTCAACATGCAGCTGGTAACTGGATTCAGAATCACCAATAGAAAAGTGACTGTACTCTGCATATGCCGATTCTCCTTGAAAGCTGGTAAGGTCAACTCGAAGTTGATATTTGTCTTGGCAGGTGATCTCATGTATAAAGCGATTCCCAAGATAGAAGTTATCTCTGAGATTACCAAAACCAGTCTCGTATTCAGCCCATGTCTTATAAAAGTCGCTTTTAGAAACCCTCCTTTGTATAACAGTCCACCCACCGCCCGATGTGTCCATATCGCAACGCACTGAGACCCCCTTCTTGTTACGAGAAGGGTAAATAGTGTAAATGTCAGTTTTTTTGTGACCTTCATTGTAAATATCTCCGCAGTCAATGGGTTTCGATTTACCGGTACTTTTATCTAAAAAACGAGCGGAAAAATCTGCAATCATGTCTCTCTTTAACTCCGCTAGGTCTGCTTTTGTGGCAACATCTGTCCTGTTTGAATAGCAAGTACACCTTTGACGGTTTAAAATGTTAGCAAATATTTTCTCTATGAATTCCTCTGTGTCAGAAAATTTATCAAAATGACTACTTTCATCACTTTGTATCTTTACCAGTGGTAGATATATGATGCTTTCATTTTTGGCAGCAACATATCCCAAAATAGCAGTTATCATGAGTAGCTTACACATTTTATTTGATTTTCCTTCAAACAAATGTTGATTGCATATGGAGAATTTATTATCTCAAACTGTTAATCGAAGTTTACGTTTCTAACTTTCTAACAATCTGGTGTGATTTACTTGAGATTGCAAAATGCGAATGAATAACTCGAACATGGTATAAATAGCTACTCTTCAATCTTATAAACAAAGGAGATTCTAAATATATCAAGAAATCATGTGAATGTAGACATTGATAGTGCGAAAAACTAGACAAGATGAAAATAGGCATATCTCTAATCTTATCAACAAACAATTACAATTGTCATTGAGATGATCTTGATAAAAACAGATACAGACAGAAACAAATGGTTAAAATTATACAATAGATCAAAGTTTGAAAGAAGATATAATATCTAAAGTAAACGTTGACTTTATTTAATTCAAACTATACAACGGGAAACAACAACAAAGAAGAAGTTTGCAAATAGCCTTGTATTTATTTTTCATTGTATCACAAAGCGTTTCGCATCGTAGTGGTGACAATTGTTCAAAATTGTTATGCATATTTAACCATTAATGTAACTTTAGTGTACTAAAATCCCTTTAAAGTATACTTACTTTACCATTAATGAAAATAACAGTCGATAACATGTTGTTCACTTTTTGTATCATATTTTCTAACATGTAAGTATAGAATCTTTGAAGTATTTCTTTTATTTTGAATTAAGAAAACAAATTGAATTTTTCTCTTCTGACATTATACAGTTTACTCAAATATTTTGTTTTATTTTTTTATACAATGTTATACATGTATTATGTATTAACTACGTATAAATGTCCCCAGACAGAACACTTACTGGACAATAAATATATAAAAATTTGATCATGTTTTATAGAAAAGTGAAAATCAATTGGTCTACAATATAATTACATTTTTCATAAGTTTTTCAAATATTGATAAAACTACATTATATATAATTTGGTTATTCTTATAAAATATTGTTTAAGATTAAACATGATGATAAAATTCTAAATTAGTTAGATCTAGTATGGTCATTTGTATGATAAAAAAATTATTTTGTTTTTGAACAATCCATTGTCTGCTTTATAAATATTTATGAAATATCAAATCCTGCATTTTATATTTGACAACAACAGCCATGTTTATTTATTTCGTTGTCTGATGTCATGTTTGATAATAAACATTAACAAAGTTAATATCTCTTGTATTAAAGACCTTCTATTATATACCAATTCACTAATTGTTAACGCCTGTTTCATTTGTTTGTTTATAAAAACGAAATACAAAATATCAGTTTAAGTTTTAGTAGCCACTTAAACAATACCATTTCGTAAGAAAGTCCTTAACTATAAAGTTCTGTATTGAAAATGCACGACAAAAACACATAAATTGCATTTTGCTGGACGATATTCGTACAAGAATTGCACGGATCGAGATCCTCTACCACAAAAAAAAAACTATCATTTATTTCAAGTTTTCTAAAAATTTGAAATTGCACGGATCGAGATCCCCTACCAAAAAATAAACTATCATTTATTTCAAGCTTTCTAAAAATTTGAAGCATTTAAACAACACAAAGCTGTAAATAATGTACAACATGCCCATAGCGACAAATTGACAATATCATTTGTTACACTAATGTTCTAAATAATCCAATTTAAAACGGTATATCTTCTGAATCAAAACCAAAAAACTTACATGATTTTTTTTGTAAATTCAATCACATTGTCATTTTATTATTTCTGCGGGGCTTAATAACGAATGAAATATGGGGTGTATTTCGCCACAGAGTATGACCTCTTAAAACATGGTATTTACCGTTTAAACATGGTTTGTCCACAGGATACCTGTACAAAATGGTAAAACCTGTACAAAATGGTAAATGTGTTGTTTGACTTGTAGGTGTTCAGAAAAAGCAACAACATTAATTTCTTGTATGTAGATGACAAAAATGGGATAGCATGTGGGTATAAATCAGAATGAAATGTCGTATTCGCAAGTTCGTACATTATATATTTATTAAAGATGTCATAGAATTCGTAGCTTTTTGTGAAAACAGTGGCTTGTGTGTAGAAATTATGACTAGTATTCTTCCAGGGAACAAACATTTGGAACATACCAAGTATTTATCGCCAAGTTTGAGGCCGAATGCTGCCCCGCCGGAAATATCAATGTTCTTTATAGGTGAACTCTCAGAAAATAATTAGGCCACCCAAATGTCACCGGGTTTTATTGACCTTTTTTAGAAACCACCCTTTTTACATTATATCAAAACTATTCGATTAACCTAAAGAAATCATTTCCGAATATGTATCAGATAAAAGAAACAAAGTTATACAAAAAACTCTCACAACAGAATAAACCGACAATGCAAATGCCATCTCTTTATTGTCTAACTCCGGAAGCATTATTTACTGAAGTTACACACATGGTCATTTGTGTTGGTGTCCACGTCAAGGTGATTGTTGTTGATGTACATATCATGGTGATTGGTCTTGGTATGCATGCCATTGTGGTTGGTGTGTATATCATGGTAATTTGTGTTGATGTCCATGTAATGGTGATTGGTGTTGGTGTGCATGTGCATGTCAAGATGATTTGTGTTGATGTAAATGTCAAGGTGATTGGTGTAGGTGTGCAAGCCATGAATGTTGGTGTGCATTTTATTGCGATTGATTATGCAAATTATGGTAATTGGTGCTGATGAACATGTCTTGGTGATTGATGTCAATGTCATGGTGATTGGTGTTGATGTATATGCCATGGTGTTTGTGTGCATACCATGGTGATTGGTGTTTGTGTGTATGTCATAGTGTCGCTATGCATGTCATGGTGCATGCCGGGGTAATTGATTTACATGTCATGGCCTTTGATGTGCATTTAATGGTGATTGGTCTTGATGTACATGTCAGCGTGATTGATGAGCATGTCATGGTGTTTGTATGCATTTCATGGAATAAGTACTATTGTCTAACCCCGTAAGCCTGTTTCATTGTCTGTTCGAACTACCAAATATCAGTTAGATATACAGTTTGATACAGATATTTGTTACATAAAAGTAACTAAAACCTTATCATTACATGAGATTGTGAGTGGCCAGTTCGTAGAAATTCTGACCAGTGTTCTTCCATGGAACAAGAATTTTAAACATAATTAAGTATTTATCCGAATGCTGCCGCGCCGTTAATTATAGGTGAGCCCTGAAAAACTTATTAGGCCACCCAAAACGTCACCGCTGTATTCTAAATTTATGTTGAGTAAAAACATGACTTTTTAATAAGAAGTATTACATAGAAAAACAAAATGGAACATAATGAAAGCCGTTTATTCCGTATCAATAAAAAAGAGTCTTAGTTAGGGTATGTGATAAAAGGAGTATTCTTGCTGGAGACTTCAACACGGTACTTTATTCAGATAATGTAAGAGTTTATTCTAACGGATTGCTTGAGAGAAAATAAATTAAAAAGTGAATATTCATCCAGTAAAATGGCACGTCTTGACATTTTACTTATTTCAGATACTTTATATACCGCCATTGATAACACTTTAATCTTATCTGGATACTGCACTGATCACTCACTGATTTCTATATCATTTAAATTTGGCAAAATTTACAAAAAAGATGGGCTTACCTGTTATTTGATAATCCTTAGAGATGAAAAACACAAACTATATAGAGGATATTTGTTAAGTTCAGTGTAAGATCGGAATATATTTCAACGAGTGAGCACCAAAAGGTATATTTCCCGAGTGGCGCAGCCACGAGTGAAATGTGAACTTTTGGTGTTCACGAGATTTGTAACTGATAAATATTATAGACGCTGTATGTTAAGAGCAATAAGACCTACACAAATTCAGTTTCAATAAGAGTATATATTGTAAATATTGTAGTTATAATAACATACATGTTTATAAAGAGAGTGATGGTGTCTGTGTATTTTATGTATTGTTATTTTAATGTGTGTACATATATATTTTAATTTTATGTATGTTTATCGTTTTTGTAAATAATATACAGAAATGATTAATAAATGGCTGAAAATGTTCTTACTTTCTGTTTTATTTCAAAAGAGCACGGTCTTTCCTAATATAACAATACATTAATTAAGGGGTCGATTTTAGGGGTCTAAGTGTCTTAGGGATCTAAGTGTCAAGAGTCGAGGGGTGTGAATCGGGGTTGCCGTGTTGGGCTTTCTTTAGGGGTTCTGTTTTTAACTATTTTATAAATTGAAGACCTTTGAGTGACAACCTTTTAACCAAATTTGAGAATATTTTAAATTATATTTTGTGTACATACCATGGTGAGTGTGCTCGTGTTGCATCATGGTACAATTATATATACAATGTGTGTACATTATGCCAAATAGATAATATCTTACATTATATCTAATCTTATAGAAGTCTTTTTTAAACGTAAAGAACGTCACAGTTTTCAACTTTTTTTATCAATGTTCCAAAATCCAAACAATCACAAATGGTCAAATAAAATAAACATGCGATAATTCTACATTGTTTTGAAACGTAATGTTTTGGCTGATTGATAGACTAGATATGTTTAATGAACATAAATTTTGCATGTTCATTTCAAGCATTGGCGAAAACTAGTATTTCACTCTTTGTTTTACTATCATTTTAGTTTACTTTAAATGATAAAAAATATGAGTCATTTCTGCTACAAGTTTACTGTGTTTTAGAAATGTATGTATGCCTATTTACGAATATAATCGGTGGTGTGAAAATAAGAGAAGTCTAGCATACACCAAACTTATATGTGCAATATTATAAACTAAAATGAAGTTAAATTATGCTCCTTTTTACTGTCTAGGATAGATTAGTTGAACATTTCAATAGATTGACTGTTTAATGGCGATTAAGGAATACCGTTTACTGATAATAACAAATCTTTATGATAAAATATAACAACTGACTTTAATATAAAAAATAATGAGCGTGCTTGCCATAAAACAATAACAAAATATTTAAATAGTAATGGTAGAAAGTACTTCATGTATCGTCATTTTTACAACTTTTCTTATCAACTTGTCAAGAAGCACAGTCATATAATGAGAGTTTTGCTGAAACAATTACAGAAGTTAAGAATTCCCCGAGAATAAATTGAAGACTAAGAA